CCCCGCCGCAACCGCTACCACCGCCGCCGTCATCCCCACCCGTCGCCCCGCTCCGCCTCGTCGATAAATCGCATAAAAATCGAGCCTATTGGAATGTCTTTTTACGATTCATGATATTGTGAAATTTATGGTTCAAGCTGTAATTACTAATGATTGTGATGATAAATAAAGTCTAGCGAAAGGGTCAGTAGCTTTGAAGTAATAGAAATTAGCATTAAAAGGTTGATTGCGCATTTGTTCAACTGGTCAGTTAAATTTGCGGAAATGCATCGACGTTGTCAATCGATGGCATTGTTTTATAAACACACGATATGGCAGGCCGAATCGTTCGAGCCCGTTCTCTCAACGTACCTATTTAGAAAGGTTGGCCGCTCTAACGAATGGAAAATTAAGGACTTCAATTCGTTTCTTGCTTCCTCGCATCGATGGCCTTTACTTGGCTATTATTACAGCCGGAAACGAATGCCAAATATTAGCGCAAAAAGCCCTGCACATTGAACTTGAATACATTTTGAAAGTGTGCGTTTTGCTCTTGTCACGGCAATTCATATTTATTGCATACATTCATTATTCATATGGTCATTTCCATGCAATTAGAGCGGTAATTATTTCAACTGCATTCAATTGTAAAGGATTTTTATTAATAATCATGACTACTATTTTGCCACCCATACATATTGATAATCCCGTGGGTGTCTAAACAAGGCAATTCGCTCGTTTGCCTCATTACATAATTGTCAAAATTGAAAATTTGTCGACAATCTCACGCAATACGAATACGGCAAGTGTATGGGCAGTAAAAACGTCGCGCCATAATCCAGCCTCGATGTATTAGTATCAGATAATACAAGTACATAATGAATTTAATAGGCTTTAACGGGTGGAGAATTTTTTTTTTTTTTTTTTTTTTACACCCGCGGCTTCGTTACTACGCGATTGATTGATCAGTCACAGCGGCGCCACATTCACGAGATCACAATAAAGAATGAGAGAGATAACGGGCGCGGATATCGAATAGTCGATGTTTCGCAGATATACACAGATTTCCCATAGGCAATAACGATCTGGCACGTCGATGCGAGATCAGATCTCCGTACTAACTCCATCGATGCCCATTTCTCTTTCTCATCCATTTTCTCTCCCGCGTGCTAACAATCACCCCAGCGAAAGTGTACGGGGGCACGGTAGATCCAATGCGCCCACCGGCAATTTAATCGAATTCGCTCGCCGAGCACACGCGCCATCACACACGTACATACGCGCGAGTTGACGCATACGAACGAAGCTTAATTTCCCGTGGCGTATACGATTTTGCGGTGACTGTGCTTTTCACGGGCTTTTCTCCTTCTCTCCTTCCTTCCTGCGCTCCCATCCTCGTCTACGCTCCCGAGAATGACACGAAATCGAACATAAGGTTCACCCGTTTACCATCTAAATCCTGCCGATGGATAACCATGGATAACGGCCCTCTTACCTCTCTTGCTTATTTGGAAAAGTGTGCGTTTTAAGTTCACAAAAGGCAGACGCTCGTGTATACACTGTGAGAGACTTGGTGAGAGTCTTACTGGACGTACTAGGCACTTAAGGGCCGGGCAAAGTTAGCCAAACGAAGGAGAAGGGCGCGAGCTTTTACGAAACAGTGGAGACAAATACACTCGCAGCAATAGCGCCAGTCGGTGTCCTCTTCGATCGGCATCCCCACGGCCGAGGCGCAATTTCGCTAGTTTATTCTTCCGTTTCGGAACCGACGTTTCTCCGTACTTTCCGCAATCGCGCGCAAAAAGTAACGAAAAAGGAAGAAAAAAGTGACAAAAAGTCGCGATATAAAAGCGTTCGTCAAAAAAGAAGGGAGAAAAAAAAGAAGATAAATAAATAGAATAAAAAACCAGGCGTTCGTGCTTCGAAATCAAAAGCTAGTCTGCTTCGCTCGCGTTTCGCTCGCGTGCCCTCGTTCGCATTCGGCTCCCTTCGGATTGGCCTCTCTCTCTCTCTCTCTCTCTCTCTCTCTCTCTCTCTCTCTCTATCTCTCACTCATTCGCTCACTCACTCACTCACTCACTCACTCACTCACTCGCTGCTATTCACTACGTGTCGCTGCGTAGTCTATCTTCTGGCGCGACGCTATTGTTTCCATCATTCTTATTCAGTGCCTATGTAATAGGGGCTCAAAGGGGACAGGTAGCTAATGAGTAAAAAATTCACTAAAAATACCTGTCTATTAGAATTCATTAAATATGGCCTATTTAAGCATTGTTTGTTATCAATAAAATCAATAATTCGGCCGCGATTTTATAAACTTAAATTAGCCATAATGAGGAGTGCGCGATAGTAATTTGATTTAATTGAAGAATATATGTACTTGCCGAATTGATGGCTGTCTAACGCCGGTAAAAATCTATGACTAAAAGAGAATCGGATGGTTGACCTCGAGAGGGAGGGTGGATGGTCGTCGAGTGTTTAGTTCGCCGTATGGTGACTGCATTTGCTCTCCTGCAAATGGCGTTTTAGTGGTCGAGAGGTGATCTCTCAAGGGGACCAGCCGGCGCCTCTCACGCTGGCGTTTGGGTATCGTTAGAGTTCCTCTGTCGGCTTTTCTTTTTATTCTTCTTCTTCGTCTTCTTCTTCTCCTTCGTCTTCTTCATCTTCTCCTTCGTCTTCTTTCTCTTCTTCTTCTTCTTCTTGTCTCCCTCCTGGTGGACTTGACACACACCTCTTTACGTTATCGGCAAAAGTTCGGTATTTCCCAGTTTTTTCCCCCCAACTGCTCTCTCCATCAGCTTCTTAACTTTTATATATATTTTATTCGCCGTTGCGCAGTTATACGTAAAAAATATTTGAAAACTTCGAGTAGAAAGAGGTTTATGAAGTGGATAATTTGGAAAAATCATGAGAAAAAATACACGCTTTTTATATGTTATATTTTACTTCATAAATTCGTATATTTTATAAATATTATAAGTAGACCGAGGGTAGCGTATAATTATGAAATCATTGTATTTACAATAAGTTTTTAAAATAGTTGAGCATTCATTTTATCTATTGAATATTAATTATTCATATCTGAATATTTTTAACCGTTAAAATGTTTTCAATACGTTTTATTCGACTGTGAAATATTTTCATTTATTTTTGTATTAATCATGTATGATATTGCAATTTTCGGGGACAAATAAAATTGAAAGAGGATTTACTTTCTAATTGCATGATAAGCGATGATTAATACAAATAAAAAGCAAGAACGCGGTCTGAAGTGAAAATTTGCTTTAAAATAATAGAATCCCCAGATTTCAAAATCCCGCGTGGTGCAATAGATTTCAAATATAAAACTACTCGTTAAACGCATAAAATGTACATTGAAAAGGATTTATTAAAATCGGTGGAAATTTCTCTCAATTATAATAGGCTTAAAAATCCATTTATCCAAAAAGCTAACAGATCAAACGAGTAAAAAAAAAAAAAAAACAACATTTTTAAAAGATTCCCCTTTCCCGTGTTAATCATTTAATTATTGTGTACGCTATGAATGGTTAGATCATTGTTTAGATTCCCATCACCACCACCACCACCACCACCCCCCTCCTCACAAATCCACCATACATCATTGCTCCATAATTAATAGTGGCATAAGGCAGTAGTTGCGCGTAGCTTGAATTAATTGTTATTAAAGTGAAATGAGGAAGGATGAAAGTGCGAGCTGGGAGGCATTTCTCTTGTTAAACGAGAGATTGGCGTAAGCGTAGCCAACTAGGAAATTAAAAGCCAATTAAAAGATCATCTCCTTCCGTACAGTTGGAGTGGGTCTGCGACAACGCGGCTCTACCCACCTTCGCCCAGAGCATCTTTTTCGTCGGGGCGATATTCGGAGGTCTGATCTTCGGATGGGTGGCCGACCGCTATGGCCGGATCCCCGCCCTCATTGGCACGAACCTCGTCGGCTTCCTGTCCGGCGTCGCCACCATCTTCGCCGGCAACTTCTGGGAGTTCGCCGTCTGCCGATTCTTCTTCGGCTTCGCCTTCGACAACTGCTTCACTATGATGTATATTCTCGGTAAATTTAATTTCATCGATTCGCGCATGCTCCAAGTGTGATCGACATGGGGATTCGCCTCAGTCGCGCTGCCAAGGCTCTTATTTATTCCGTTTTCTATACACATATGTGCTTTTATTTATTTATTTTACTTTTTATGGCAGCGTTTCCATGTGTAATTAACGAATGGCGGTTTTTTTTATTTTTTTTTTTAGTTAACGGCGAGTCCTATCGCATTATCGGGACGTTATAACGATCGCAATATGGCAATTTGAAAACTTTATTGATAAAGCGTTTTTTGAATTTTCGTCACTTGGTAATGCATTTCCGGCTTATTTAGAACGAAATTGTACTTTCGCATTATCTCTTTCTATCGATAGGAGCTGTTGGCTTTACGTAAATTTATGCACGGGGAGTCAAAAAGTATTGGAAACGTTGGAAATATATCTCAGCGACAATACGAACAACACGTAATAATTGAAATTTATCGAAACTCTAAAGTAAATGATATCGATGTAATGCAACTAGCTGTATGCGATGTTGGTAGTATTTGTGAAAAAACATATATATATATATATATATATATATATATATATATATATGAAAACAAATTTTCTTCATTTATTAATGTTTAGAATTCGTGCGGCATTAGAAAGTCTATATTATTTTAAGAAATCATCGTCCTTTTCAAGGTTTTTTAAACCACCTAAGGTAGAATTGTATTTAATTAAAAGTTTCACTAAAATTGCATCGAAGCACGCAACTATTAATTTGTTATTTTATCTAAAATTAATTGCAAACAATTTATTAGATTATATTACTATTAGTAGTTTAATAGATTTCCATCCTACAAGCTTTTCATCTCTGTCTATAGTATTTTAGTTATTAAATCATTTATCATTAATGCTATCATATAATTTTATAAACATTTGATGACTATATAATTCTTCCAAGTACTTAATAATTTTGTAATAAAATACAAAATAATACTAAAGGGTTTTATTTTTATTAATTATTATTATTTTTTTTTTTAATGCTTTTATGTGTGTGCGTGTGTGCGTGTGTGTGTGTGTGTGGGTGGGTGGGTGGGTGTGTGTGCGCTGCACCCGGGCGACTTCGTGTTAAGCTTCTTAAGCATGAAATGAGTCATAACTTTTTGTATTTATTATGAGGCAGCCATTACTGGCTTTTAGATTAATTCGTGTCTAGTTAAAGCAACATTAAGACAATTATAAAGAAAATTGTATGGATTATTTCGGCTTACATAAATATTAAAAGCTCTGAAGTAAGAGCGAGTCCACAAAATTCATCCAAATAAAAATAATTCTCCAATTACTTTTTATGATACTATTCATCAGTTCGTTTATTTTCTTTCAATTTCAGTATTGTAATTGTATACTTAAGTAAGGGAATATTAATTTAAAAAATAATTGACATACTTTCATACACTAATGTATGAAACGCTGCGTACATTTGCATATATCGGCGAATCATATTATCAAAAGCGTATTCAAACCGATAATGTGACACATAAAATAGAAACGCAGTATCGTTTACTAATAGACTAGAAAATTTTTCAAAAAGTCACTTAATAGTAATTACGGAATTATTGATTGGTGAAATGCTTGTTTCTCTTTCTCTTTTTCTTATTTTTTATTTTTTTTAATTTTTTTTTTTTTTTTTTTTTTTTTTTTTTCCTATTGAATACTATTTATTACAGAGAATCGTATTTTCACTGAATTTCTTAAAAAACATATATCCAAATATCGTAATATTGTAAACATCGGCAGTTCTCAATTTCAAGAAAGTAATAAAACAAAATTGAAGGCTGCTGCGGCTGCTGGTAAAATTTGAAGATGCCAATCTATATATTTTACGATATATATATTGGAGACATGGCGTTTGCATTATGAATCCCGACGTAACGTCTCTCGTCCCCTCCACCTCGCTCTCACCCCCTACCCCTTAGTAATGTAAAGTGTCATAATTGTTGTTGCTCGCAGTGCTGGAGTACGTGGGTCCGAAGTGGCGCACCTTCGTCGCCAACATGTCGATCGCCCTGTTCTTCACGTTCGCGGCCTGCCTTCTACCCTGGATCGCTTACTACCTGGCCGACTGGCGTCTGACCTGCGTCGTCACCTCGGTGCCTCTCGTCCTCGCGGTCGCGACTCCCTGGTTCGTACCCGAGAGCGCGCGCTGGCTCGTCAGTCAGGGCCAGGTCGACAAGGCTGTGCTGATATTGCACAAGTTCGAGCGCATCAACAAGACGAAGGTGCCCGATCAGGTCTTCAAGGACTTTCGGGTGAGTCGCGGTCGCCGCCGTCGCTTTACGGCTACGCTCCTCCGTTTAACGCTCAATTTCCTCTTTGCTTTTTCCTATTGACGCACTCATACGAAAGGTGGATTTTACGATCGGTGATCTATTGGACCGTGGATGTGATTTTGAAATACCTCGAGACGGACTTTGATCGTTCGGAGCTGATTTTGTTTTATTGACAAGGCTGCTATTATGATTAAATATATGGAAATTCAATGAAGCGATAAAAGTATGAGCTTTACGAGCAAGAAGATTATTGTTAAAGTAGGAAAGTTATGAATTATGTTAAACTATTGTATCAATACGGAATTTTTTCAATTCTCAATTTCTGAATTAAAAAATTCTCAGGCAAAATGGCTCAATTTCCATAAAATTAAATTAGTTCCTGAATATCAAATTAAATAAAGAGACGTTTCTAATAGAATCGAAGATTCGATTGTTAAATTTAACGATTAACTTACCCTCTTTCCTAATTCCCACTTTATTGGCACTGACTGGATGTAATTCAACATAGTTCACAATTATAGTAATAATAAAGTCAAACAATGTCAAAATGTTAAGAGTCAAAGTGTTAAAAAACGCAAATTAAAAAAATTATACGTTGGCTATTAAACAGGAATAAATTATTACTATTCTGGACAGGTGTGGTATTATAATTATCACCTTTTACGCATACACGTTACCTTAACAAATATGTAATTACAATATTACACTTTTAAGACATTTATTGACTTAAAGTTAACGTACTTATATCCGCAGGATACATGTGCTAGAATTCAAAAGGAAGAAGAGGTGGATAAATCCTATTCCGTAATCGATCTTTTTCGAAGTCCAAGATTACGTAAAATCACGATACTTTTAGTTTTAATTTGGTGAGTATTTATCGCCACGAGCTTTTGTGAAAGTTTCTTTAATAGTTGTTTAAATCATACGAATATATTAATATTCTATTTTAAATCCACGAAATTCACCAACACCAATAACCCTATACATTCGCCAAAATAACATTATCGTGGCAACATTGTTTATATTATGAAACTATTGTTTTTTTATAATTGCAAATAATGAAGTGAATAATGTTTCAATAATATTTCGGCAAACCATCTAAGCTAACTCTCGTAGTGCAGGAACAACTAATCTCTCACTCGATGCATTTAATCTAATAGGTCATCTTACCGATAAAAATAGGTTATGAAATATCGTATAATATAAAGTACGGCTCAATATAAAGTAAATTTCGCGTAAATGAAATGAAATATCATTGGGATTGATAAAACGTTATATATATATATATATATATATATATATATATATAGGAATAAAGCTAGTTTTATTCATCAACTAAAATCCTCAAGTCCCTTAAACTGTAAGAGATCCCCATTCAATATCAGATATCCTATCAATAATCAGATGAAAGTTCGAAATTGCCTTTCACCGTCGTAAAATGAATAGATCGTACAATCTTATGGAATCCGATCCATCCTAATAATCCGCCTATTATTCAATTAAAAATCTCCCGGCAACTCGTCCAATCGCATACACAATCAAACGCAACCAATCGGATTTCCCAGGATGGCGATATCCCTCGTATTCGACGGCCATGTGCGTAACGTGGACAACCTGAGGCTCGACGTCTTCGTGACGTTTACCGTGGCCGCGGCTACGGAACTACCGGCCGACACTTTCCTCACCCTCGTGCTCGACCGCTGGGGCAGGCGGTGGCTCGCATGCGGTTCCATGGTTATTTCTGGGATATTCAGCGTCTGGGCCAGCCTCGTCTCGAACAGTGAGTAGCGCCATTTTTCCCCACCCCTGTACGTTAATCAAGCACAAGAATTTCCCACGATTAAGCGGGGAGGTGTAGGTGTGAGAACACGAGCTTAACACAATCCTCTTTATGTGACAATAACAATGGAAGCGAGATTAAGAGCATCGATAATGAAGAGGATTAGGTTAGAGCAACGATCGCGATAACGATAATAATAAATAACAATAAATAAAAACATCGACAAAAATGACAACGACCATAACGATTGTAATAGCTGATGATTATAATAATGATAAAATAATTGCAACAGCAACGAGTCCCAATAACGCTAATTGTAAGAATGTTCAATAATTAAATGTTTAATCTAATTGTAATCAATTTTGTGGTCGATAATGCTCGTAATTATCGATGCTCTTAATCTTAAGCGTGATTGGCAATTATTTATTTACCATATGTTTAGCCATATGAAACTTGATTTCGTCTGGCGTTAAATTTCCTTCGGGATAAATGCCAATCGGTTGTTTTGTATGCCAAGTTCCAAATTTTCAAAAAAAAATATTATGCAAAATTTTGGAATACATCACCGTCATTTAGAGAATATTTGAAGAGTATTAAGATATAAAATTATTATAGCCTATCATAATGATAATTGTCGTTGATATTTTTATAATTTACCACGTACACTGTGTAATATTATATAATCGCTCAAGGAGTGCCGAGGTAAAATGGGAAAAACGTAAATGCCGGACAAAGGCGTTTATAAAAGAAAGAAAATTTGCCGTCGCGTTTTTACGGCGTTTAATGGCGTACAGATTGGACACAAATCAACTTCTCTCGTATTCTCGTATTATTGCGCAGATATATATTCGGCCACCCTGGCGATAATGGGCCGATTTTGCGTGAACATCTCGTACAATATCGGGCTTCAGTACGCAGCTGAGCTCCTGCCGACGGTCGTCCGGGCCCAGGGTGTCGCCTTCATTCACATTATGGGCTACGTAGCGAGCATAATAGCCCCGTTCATCGTCTACCTCGGCTTCTTCTCCAACGTCCTGCCGCTTCTGGTGCTTGGCATCCTCGGTGTCATCGGTGGTGTGCTCGCGCTCTTTCTGCCGGAGACATTGGACAAGGAGCTGCCGCAGACCCTACAAGACGGAGAGAACTTTGGCAAGGATCAGGGCATCTGGGACATGCCCTGCTTCACCAAGTGAGTCTGTCACACTTTTATTATTATCCAATTGGCTGACATTAGGATGGGATTATTCGTGACGTAGACAATCATTCCCCGCCAAACTCCAAATCATACATGAAAAATGCCAAACGATACGAATTCATACAATAGGAGTAGAAAGGTTAGTTGACGAGTAGCGGAAAGTAGGATCAATCAAGTGAATCGGTCAATTCTCAAAACCTATCATGGTGAAATTTATTGAAAATCTACAACCTTTTTCACTTTAGAATAGAATTATATTTAAGTCAATGCATATAATATGAAATTTAACTTTTGAAATGTTTTCAAGCTCTTGTAGAACGGTTGGCACATACAATAAAAACGAATCGAAGTCGATGAGATTTTTATCGGAAAAAAAAAAAAAAAAAAAAAAAAAAAAAAAAAAAAAAAAAAAAAAAAAAACAGAAAAGAAAAATAAAGAAAACCAAGACAATTCAAATAAATTATTAAGACTCCCCAACATCTCGCATATTACGGGAAATTTTACAAAAAATAATAATAACAATAAGCGATAAAATCAAACGGATATTATGAATTAAAGAATATTTATAAGAAAATTTCATAGCTTTTCCATGTTCTCCATTCATTTAACGATCCTTGCTTATATTTACTTTTACACATTTACTCAACGTTTTCTTTAAAATAACTCTTTCGCGTTCTGCTGTGTCGAGTCGACTCCCACTCTATGACTTGAAAACAATTTCTCTTATACGCGTTCGCCACTCCCTCTTACTTTACCCACTCACGGCTTTTTATCGGATATAAGAAAATTGTATAGCATTCCCAATAATAATAATAATGATAATAATAATGATAATAATAATAGTAATAACAACAACAACAACAACAACAACAATAATAATAATAATGATAATAATAATAGTAATAATAGTAATTGAAATGTTGTGGGAATTCAAAGAGTTGGCGGAGCGAAGTAACGATGAAAAGCAATGAAACCGTGAAATTTGGCAAATACAATGATAGTTCGTACGCGAGTACTTATGCAGGACTCGATGGTCGTTGTGAGTTTGCATTGACGTTTAAACTAAGTGAATGGAAATTAGAAGGAATTCCAGAATACGAATAAATAAGCGAAAAAGATAAGCAACTTCTTTAAGCCAGGCATTAATTAAATCCACAGAAAGGCGGACGATGCGGAATGCCCGACGTCGAATTTCCGGAGGAGCTCAACCGTACGTAGCTCGAGGCGAGCTTCGATTCGCGGCGAGACGCTAAGGAGCAGCATGATCCAGAGATCGAGCATAAGATCACGAAGAAGCGTCGTCGCGCCTCCCTTAGAAGAGGAGAGACTTTAGACGCCATTGCGCTTCCTACCTTTATATGTTTGAAAATACGTTTGTTCGTACACGCGCGAAGAGACAGTGATCCAGTTGGGAATTACGTCACTCCGGTACGCCCCCAATATTATAGATTAGTGTATTTTTGTCACTAAATGTTGAAGCGCAATACGTTGAAGCCAAGTTGCAGTGATATATATGAATATAGTGATGGTAAAGCAGGTTGAACGTGCAGAGGCGAAAGTACTAGCGATAGCCTACGTGTGATTCTAATAATCGTACTTTCTTGTGATAAGCGAGCATATTGCGTATGTTGTTTAAGCAAAAGCGATTTTGATAAGCAATTGCTGAAAATGTTTTTCAATGTCTTCCAGTGGTTAGGGTATATCGTCACATCCAATAGATTGGAAAATTTGTATTAGCTTCTGAGTATATTTTATAATTCACTTTCACACGTCCCTTTTCATAATTTTTTTTCATAGTTTTTCTTCAATCTATTAATCAAAGTTACATTAGGAGTCTTGTACGCCTATATTTATAATATTATTATTTAAATGTATTAAAGTTATTAAAAGCATTTTTTATACTGATAAGCTCTGAAATTAGCACAATTCCATTATTATTAAAATAATGTCGAGTGACAATAATATAATTCTTTTACTCCATGAATGCTGACATTATGGCGTTAAATAGTTTGACTTTTTGCCAATGTTCTATAATATTTTTTTTTTATTTTTTTTTTTATTTAAATTGGCCTTAACCCATTTTACTTTCTCACACATCGAGTTTAAAATCATAAAACTGTCAATTTATACGTGCGATAATATATATTAATATAAACGTCTCTCATGTACACGTAAAAGTCTTGCCAACATTTTTTTATAGTTTAAGAATATTCTGTGAATGTTTTCATTCGTAAATACACACACGCACACACACACACACACACACACACACACACACACACACATATATATATATAATATACACTGAAAATCTATACTTCTATACAATTTCAATCTATATATTTTTAATTATATTTGTATAATTCACATTCAACTTACATATTTTGTAATATTAAGGCAACTTCATTCCATTTTTATCGAGAAAATTATTAGCTATTTAGATAGAAGCTCGTGTTAATATATTAATAAAAATTTCTAGCATTGAAATAATAAAATTTTCTTATTTCATAAGCACTCGAATTGGATATTATATAGTTACGTAGAAATGTTATTAGTTAAGTAAATTTTAAACAGATAATATGTAAAAACAAAAACTGTTATGATGACACCGAATTAAAAAAAAAAAAAACAATTTCAATTTAACGACTATGAGGTATTAAAGAATTGTAATTTTATTTTTGTGTTACAATATAAAGCAATAAAAGAATTTAATACACATTACTTGATTAAATTTTCTAAACATTGGATTAAGAAAGAAAATATTAAAATTGCTTAAGTAAAATAGTTAAAGTTTTTTTTTCCAATCACTTTGTTGAGACAACAAATTATCTTTTCATAAATTTTTTATTAGTAAATTTATTAATAAAAATACAATTCAAATATCTAATAATGTCAGGTAATTATTACAAAATTATATTGCAATATACAAATTTCTAAAATTATAAGATAATTTCATATTTTAAAAAAGAAAGAAACATTCTATCGCGTAATTTAAGTGTATATATATAAATTTTAATCTTTAAATTGCCTAAAGAAAATTTATTTATATGTCCATTATAATATAGTGCATAAAAATCTAAATGTAAATAAAATAGTTGATATAATGTAAAAGATGAAAAGTGTAATTAAAAAAAAAAATTTAGATTTTTATAAATATATTGAATGTATTAAAAGAATTCTAATAATGATGGTAATTAAGTTAAAATAAAACATCATAGAATGAAATTATTTTTAATCAGTTCGAACAAACTTCATTGGAATTGAGTTGAAAATAATAAATTTTATATTTCTTTATATAAAAATTTGTAATTATTAATATAATCAATTAATTAATATAATGAAATTAATTTCATTATGAATAAATTATCCTAGTTATTTGATATATAATAAGTGGATCGTGTTTAGATTATAAAATTTAACTATAATTTCAGTATTATACAATATTATTTGTAAAGTTATTGAAAATTAATAAAAAATAAAAAAAGGCCTTTTGTTAATTGTATTCTGTATCTATATAAACATATACATATTTGTTTTACAGACTGTTAAGTAGAGGTTTAACATTTATTAACTATTATTATATTTTCAATAATTATAATAGGATATTATTTGTAATGTTATCCTTGAAAATTTTTCAGTATTATTTGTAAACTACTAAATACTTTCCAAATTGATCTTTATTTAAAAAAAAAAAAAAATATATATATATATATATATATATATTATCTAGAATAATTACCTTAAAAAAGTTAACTATATTAGTCGATAAATGTATTCAGTAAGTACATAAATTATAAATTATAATTTAAATGGATAGCAATAGAATAAATATAATTTGCTTTATCAATGTGTCGCTCCTCGTTTTATAAAAAAAAGATTCATTCTAGTGATAAAAATAACATTTATTAGCATTAACAAATATTTCTTTATATTTTTGGATAAATATCAATAGTAAATATTAATAATTATATAAAAGGCTTTATGCAGTAATTAATTATTTGATATTAATAAATAATTAAAGTATATGTTAAAATAAATATTTTATCAAGTTGAAAAGTCATAGGAAACTTACTTGCAAACACATCAGAATATTGTAAAATTATTATGTATTTATTTCATATATATTTACATAAGGTATTTGATTTGCAATAAATTATTTTATAATTAAATCATATAATACAACGCAACATTCTTCCTTTTTTGAAATATTTTCTAATTACACCAAAATAATAATATATTAATTAATTGTTTTTATGGGATGGCCACCATACATTAATATTTTCCATAAATATACAGAAATTATGTAAATAATTTTTATTATTTTTGTAAAATACGAAATAATTGAAGCGTAATTCCAGTAAATGCATACAAAATTATTCAACAAATTGTTTTAACCTTTTTTGAAACTTTAATTCGAATAAAGCACTTTCATTTCAAATATGCGTAGACATAATAAAATAATATAATTACTTATTTGATTGATTATGTAATTTAATTAAATTATCTATAGAAAAATAATTCATTTAAAATTATTAATTATTTGTTAATTAAGAAAAAATAAAATTAATTAAAGTAATTATTAGATAAGATGTTTACATTATTAAAATTTCCCAGGATTATTATTATATATATTCATATTATTATATTTATATTATAATATTTATGTATACATGATTGGTTAATTATTTTTATTCTAATACACACATTCAAGCATTGCATACAATTTTATAAATATTATAAATATTTGAAATATTGTATCGCATGTTAATCTGTGCATGTGTTAATAATATATATATATATATATATATATGTATGTCAACAAACAAATTAAATTATACATACGCATGCACGCACACACAAACAATTATGTAGTATCTGCCTATGAAGTATTATTTATGTATGTCACAGATTTCTGCCTTCAGAATGGTTTAAATTTAATATCATAATATAGATTTGATTTATGTCTCTAATATTTAAAAATATTATTATTAATCATTAATAATAAGTAAATATTAATCATATATATATATATATATATATATATATTTTTTTTTCTTTTTTTTTTAATAAGTTAATGCACATAATTAATTATGAATAATAATAATAATAATAATAACTATCGTTCCACATAGAATTATATTAAGTCTCATGATAAATTATACATAATATATAATATGTTATATATTATAAATTATCTTGTACATTGCATATAACAAATTATATATTATTTACTAAAAAGTGAGAGTATATTTGAGGAATTGCTAATATATATTTCGTCATTCTTATTTTATCAAAATGTATACACTAGTGCCTATATTATTATTACATAGCCTGAAGTCACAATTTTTTTCAAATAAATATTTACTAATAATTATTATTTTTAGAAAATAAAGCATATCTCATATATAATTTATATTTGACTCAAATACTAACGATAATTTGATAATTGTCTCATTCTTGTCTATGTATGTATAAATTCAGAATTTATTGATAATCATAATAATAATCTGACTTTCTAATGAAATCTTTATATGCGTGGTAAAACTTTTATTTTTTAAAGAAAATACATTAATATTGTTTCTGAAATTTAAAATTCTAAAGAGAATACTGGTGAATTATTAAAACAAATTGTGTGAAATGCAAGAGTAGAACAAAATAATATTTTTTGAATAATCTGCGATATTATGCCAAAATATTTATATATATATTTTTTTAAGAATTTTCATAAATAATGAAATTAAAAATGGTCATTATAGTTTGTGATCGAAAACTTTACGTGTATTTAGTCACGAAATATTAGATCAAAAACAAATTTTTGACCTATTAAATTGTCTATCTTACGTTTAGTAATTATTGTAACTACGTCTTGTAATTATTCTAATCTTTCTAATTTTTCTCATTTCAATCCTTCATATACAATGTTACTTGTGAAAATATATGTATTGAGGTATTATAAATTTTTTCAGTCTCTCAATTTCTTTTCTTTTAAGACATGTGTTAACAGTAAGGTATACATGAGAAAAATGTTTTATAAAACCTTGAAAAAATCTACCGTTGACCTAGACTTCATTATTCATCCATGTTTTTTAATTTTACGTATATTTATGTTTATTACTTTTAATGTGCGATTATTGTTCATTCTTGTTACAATAATTAATTGAAAAAATATTTCCTTTTTGTAGAATGGTTGTATGTAGCATTATATTCCTTAAATTTATGAAAAATATATAAAAAGCAGCGTTTCCATTTCAATTCACATAGAAATATTTCTATATGATAAATTCCATGAATAAAATAAAACTATTTTAAATATAGTTTTTAAATTCTCATTTATAGAGAGAAAAATTTTAATGAAAAATAAGCCTCTTCAAAACTCAATTATTT